TTATTATTACTATTATTATTATTACTATTATTATTACTATTATTATTATTATTATTATTACTATAATTATTACTATAATTATTACTATTATTTTTTATTATTGTTATTTTATTTGTTTATTTATTTATTTTTTTTTTTGATAACTGATCTTTTCTAATTCGAATTATCAAGATTTCGAGTGTCGCGGCCATTAAAAAACGGAAAACATAACCCAGTATCACACTGGCAAGTTTCAAAAAAAGCTGTGACAGGTAAAAAAGAAATATAATGTATATATATATATATATATATATTCCAAATAGATCATTCTATAATGAATTGCTTATTTTATTTATAGCATTTGCATTTTCGCCGGATTGTCAACATGTAGCAACTGTATCTATAGATGGTTTCTTACGGATAATAGATTTCAAACAAGAAACGTAAGCCAAAAAAGTGACAGATATCACGATTTTAATGTAATTTGTTCTGTTTTGTGGCCTCGGCTTTTATTTTATATTATTCACCATAACTTCATTTCTTTTTCATTTTATATTTATGGACTTTCTTGTTCTGTTATAGGTTATTTGACACATATAGTAGTTATTTTGGTGGCTTTTCGTGTGTGTGTTGGAGTCCTGATGGCAAATATATATTGACAGGTGGTCAAGATGATCTGGTCACTATTTGGGCTTTTCGAGAACAGCGTATCGTAGCTCGATGTCAAGGCCATCAATCTTGGGTTACCGGTGTGTCTTTCGATCCTTGGCGATGCGATGAACGTAATTATCGCTTCGGTTCGGTTGGTGAGGACACGAAGTTATTACTATGGGATTTTAGCGTAAATGCATTGCACAAGCCAAAGCACGTATGTTGATTATTGTTTCCAAACATTTTTTATTTAATTTTTGGGGTTTTTTTTCCATATCATTACCTTTTATTTTATTTGTGGGCTCTTATACCCACAAATAATTTGACTTATTATCTTTAATCATGTCACTATCCAGGCGGGTAGTCATCGAAGAGCTAGTCTTGCTTCACAGTCACATGCGACAAGCATTGTTTTACGACGTAATTTGGCTGAACGTGAAATTCTAAAAAACACGGTTCATCCATGTCTACCTAGGTCTGAAGTTGCGATTCTTCAGCCAGTCATGGTGAGATATAGATATCTTAGTTATCGTTTAATTTTTGTTTCTCGATCATTAATAGTCATGGATTATATTTTAGGATAAATCCATTGATGACGATCCACTTTGTTCAATAACATTTCGCGAAGATTGCATAATAACTTCATGCAGAAAGGGACATATAAAGTTATGGGCTCGACCGTAAATTTTAAAATCATTTATCGTCGAAATTAGATTATATAGTTTTTCTCGGTTTTTTTTTTTTTCTAGTTAGATATTGAACTTTATAGACGTTAATTTTTGATGCACGCTTTTATTTTTATTTTATTTTATTTTAAATTCAATACACAACTATTTAATTACATATCATTTTAACGTTCGCATTTAAGTCTTAATTATTGGCTTGATGTTACAACTTATCTCAAATATCCAATTATTTATTTCATCTCTAGAGTATTGAAAAGTTTATCACAAAATCTTATATTACAATTTTTCGGCTTTCAATTTGTATAATATAATAAATTCACAACAAAAGAACTTAAATATTACAATTTTTTGGTTTTCAATTTTGTATAATATAATAAATTCCCATCAAAAGAACTTAAGAGTTTCACGGCTTCTCACCAACAAATATAATAGAACTATTTTAAGGATTATTATTTGCTTTACATGGGGAATTCGGCTTGACATATGATTAGCACAATTAATAGATATTTCATGCGCTTGAGAAAGCTTATATCATTATAGCCAACTGTCTAATGATAAACTATCAGTTTATAATTAATATCAACAATAAATTACGTATAAAAAAATTTTATAGTTTATAATTAATATCAACAATAAATTACGTATAAAAAAATTTTATTTATAATTTCAGATTTGTAGACTTAATATTGATTTCTTGTTTCTTTTGTTTTGAAACAGAAGCCTTCGTCCCATCTTTCCCGATAATAGTCACATTCTAAAAAAAAAAAAAAACGTGAAATTTTTTTTATCCATATGCAACATATGTAATTAATAACTGTAAGACTTACTTTTTGGCCTATTAGTGAATCCAACATTTTCTGTTTTGCATGCTTGTTCCCTAGTCCAAGATTCATTCTGAATAGAAAAGGTTAGTATATAGTTTCATATCAGCCAATAAAATTACAGTGGTGATCAAGAAAGTATTGATTATAATCCTTATTTAACAATTTCTCCCAGAAACCTTTTCTGAAAGATTTATGATAATTTTTAGAAATTAATTAAATATGCTTATACAAGACAATCACGTGAGAGTTCCAAGTTAGAGATTGTACCCGTCAAGAAAATTTCTACTCGGGTATTAAATTACCCGGTATCCGGGTAATTTATTATGCCATATAGTAAAAATGTCTACCCGGGTACAATCTCTACAAGTTTCAATTTTTTTTGCTGATTAATAAAGTTATCAAACATTAATCTACACTAGCCAATATTACGTAATTTGTTAAACCAATTTTAAAACGCATTAACTTTTTGCAGAAGCGATGTTTCAAAAATCTGACCACTAGCTTTGTTCCTGTATTATATGCTCTAACAAGTTACCGGTCAGTTGTTTGTAATATCACTTTTATAAGTTAATGCACTTTGAAGGTTGTTATCTCTATCACGTGTCTGTGTATAGACTTCGAGCACCATGCAAATGTAGAACCAATCCGAAGATTTGGAATAGGGATTAGAACTGTCTAAGATTTTTCTAATCGTTTAACCGTTTAACCGTGTTATCCATTTAATTCAGCCAGCATTAAAAAATTGACCCATGATCAACATAATTCGGCCCGGAATTATGGAACAATTTTAAACGGTTAAAAGGTTCCAGTCCCTAACCCGGAGCCGCCCTGAAACCAACTAGAGGTTCAAATCCGGTCTCTAGTTGGAATGGTACCAAATTCAAATGATCGGCCGAACTCCGGGCCTTCCGAGTGTTGTTGGTTCTACGTGAAATTTCAGCTCCGGCCAATTTCAGTTTCCACAACAATTATGCAATAATTTTGATCGCCACTGTATTAGAATAATAAGAAAAAAAAAGAACCACATACTTTTCGACAACTTTTTTCTCACGTTCTTTCAATTTCTTTTCCTTCTTCTTTAACCGTTTTTTGGCAGCTCGTGCTCGTTTTTTCTCATTTGAATCCATTTCAGTATCACCCTAATAAATTATATATTTTTAACAAGTTCAACAATTAACATAGATTTGAAAAGTAGTTATAATAATTTACCTTTACTTCTTGCTTCTTCTTATCATATACTTCTTCAGGAGCAAGTAATGTACCATCGCTAACATGAACCGGTATAACTTCCTCCATTGCTATGGCTGGTACATCAGCAATGACAGAAATTTCAGGTCTAGGCTATTATTTTAGAAACAAGTGCAGATCAAATATAAATATTAGATCCTCTCTATACTGGTTAGTTATGTAATCGCATGACTTACCGGTTTTGGTGTATAATGGAAATTACTCAAAGCATCTAATTTATGACACAATTCTTTAAACATATTTTCAATCTCTTGATGTTCTTTTTTTAACGCTTCATCTTTCTCATCTGGCATATCAGATGTTTGTTTAATATAACTTTCCTCATATATCTCTGCTAAGGACTTTTTAGATTTTTCATCTGACACTTCAACTAATTTTGAAGGTAGAAATGGCCTAAAATTTGGATCTTGTTTACGTTCAACGTCGTCGAACGTTTCCTGAAATTAAAACCATAACGTTAATTGTGCTTATACATATTTATAAATCTATAAATGTATTATTGATGAAAATTTTATAATTACGTCCAAAATCCTTTGTTTTATCATATCTTCAAGTTTAATAGTGACTTCTTCAGTAATAACAGGAGCTGGCTATAAAAGTTGTAATTTTTAAATAATTAATGATGTAAAAAAAACTTTAAAATAATTTAGTGTGAACTCACCTTAACGATATGATCAAAATTTAAATCCTCCTCTAATAAGCTATTTAATGGCCTATGCTTGCTTGATACCTGAAAATAACATTGAAGTACAGACGGCATGAATAAAAGTCGCTGAGAACACATATCAAAAATAAATTACCTCTCCCATTAGTGTCCAATCCTTATCAGCAATATTCTCCATTTCTAGCTGTTCTATTCGTTTTTGCACTTTTTCTTGTTTTTTGTGGAAGGGTGATTTTAGAGCTTTATCCCCTATTTTATCACGGTAAATAGTTACGCACATTCTTTCATTAAAAAAAAATAATAATAATAATTGAACGAGCTAGCAAGCAAGATTTAGAATACCTTTGTCATCGCTCGTCTCTTTAGCACATAGATCGTAGACCAAATTATTCAAGGATTCATTATCATGCCCATAATCATCTTTACTATTGTCAATATCTAAATTGTCTATTAAATTACTAGAAGAAAAATTTTGTTTCTTCTTTTTATTTTTTTTTGGTGGTGGATCAAAAAAGTCCTTATACGTAATATCTATAAACATTAATATATGAATTAAATGAAAGTTAAGAATAATCAAAAAAAAAAAGTTATAATAATACCATTGGCATTTGACTCATCAGCCAATTCATCAGGATCTATTTATAATAAATTTTTCATACCAAATGCAAATTAATCTCAATATTTTTAGATTTTGTAAACGTATAATAAAACTTATATATGCACTCATGTACCCGCAAAGTAATCGATTTCATCATCTTCTGGCATATTAACGTCATCTCCTGTGCTCTTATTAAATTCCTCTAAATTGAAAAAATCATCGTTCAAACCATTATTATCTTTGTTCGATACCTCTTTCTCGTTCTCATCATTATCACTATCTTTCTCGTTCTCATCATCATCCTATAATCATATATGTATAATGAGTGAATTAACTCGATAATTTAGCTAATAACGTTGGTACTGGTTTCATACTTGCACATCATCTTCAAAGAGATCATCTTCGACATCCATGCTGTTGTTATCCGATAATTCGGAATGTGTACTAGAAAGATCTTCTATTATTTTGTTCTCTAGTAGATCATGATTAGAGTCATTGGATACACTGTCATCATCATTTTCACTATTCTCTTGGTTTCCAATAAAATCATCAAGTGCATCCAATTCATCATTAACATATTTCAAGAATGGATTGTTTTTCCTATCAATTTCGTCCCATATTTGCTCATTATTAAGCTTATCAATTACCAGCTCTTCAACCGGATCGTTATCTATTATTTCCTGCCATTGTATTGGCTCCTTTCGTTCTTCCTTTTTACCTGAAATATAATTATTTTATCAATTCACTCGAATAATGCCTTTTTACTCTGAAATTGCTCATAGTATACCTAAATCATACAAGTCTTTTGTAATATTTAAAGCTTCTACATATGTATCTTGATTTTTTTTTAGAAAAATCTCTGGTTTTGCTATTACATTATCGAGAAAAAGCGAAAAATTTGTAAACATGATCAATGGATGTGTGATATAAAGCTGATAACGATTAGTTTAATCGAAAGAA